CCTTCGGCAAACTCCGTATCAGATTCAACTCATGGGCTACCAACATCAAACAGGCCTTTAAATCGGCCGTCCAAACACCAGACAATCCCCGACTATCTCGCGCAGCAACGCCACCGGTCACCGACGAACCAGTCGGTCAACTTTCGAGAATCCCTTCGGCGGTTCAGCCTGGACCAATCCAGCCGGGAGTTCTTCCTTCTCCGTCAAGCCCTGCTACCCTCACAGCGACAATTTCTCCCCACCTACCAAACCTTATCCTATCAAATTCCCCCCCAGCTCCATCCCATGTGGGCCGACCTGTTGGGCCTTTCCCTAGGCCCAACTCAAATTCAAACCTTTGTGGGCCACCATCGTCCTTGGGCCTCCCCCATTCTCTACCCAACTCCCCAACCCACCTTAGCCCTCTTTAACTTAAACCCAACACTTCAGACCCATTAGCCCAATCCAATATTACAGAATCACGGCCTTATCTGCACAGCAGGCCAGTTTCATCTCAGTCGAGCCATCACCCTCCGACAGAACAGGCGACGGCGACCACCATCTCATTGACGGCCGGCGGTCCCCTCGACACCGGTATCGGCACCGGAGCCGGCCATACCCAGACGGTCGGAGCCACCTCATCCTTCTTTTCTACCTTCCCGTCGGCTACTGCTACAAAGCTTGGGCAAGACACCACAGAGCTCGAGCATAATATATCACTGGAACCCTCCGGTATTACAGAGCTCAAGCAACTCCGCTCGTCCAACCCCAGCCACTCACTATCGGTAGGAATTTTGGGCCGCAGACCACCGACAATCTCCCCACCGGATAGGGACCTCAATGACAGACCGACAATGGGCAGCGTTGCCCAAGGGCAGAACACGATCAACTTTCCTTCCCCTCTCCATACGGCGAACCAGGGCCCCCGCCCAACCGGAGCTCATTCCTTTCGAGATGCAGTGTCGGGCACATCCACCGCCATACCAGGCCATCAGAGAGTGATGTTGGAATCCTTCCGGGACAAACAGAGCGGGACTGTTACTCGCTCTGAAGAGGGCAAGTTCAAGGTAAGTTTTCCTTAGCCCACTGTTATTTCCCTAGTTGGGTCGTTGGATAATGCACTCATTTTGAAATTTTCCTTCACTGTCCCTTCCCTCCGGGATTTATCTGTCGGTTTGGTCAAATTGGGTCT